AGTACCCAAAATAAGTAGTCAAACGCTCCAAGCAAAGTGGCAGATGATCTGCAGTCGAAAGGGCATTCAACTGCTCTCTTCAAAAGTGGCACATTGACTGTTTTTGGAAACATCTTGTTTTTTAAATTCCTAATTAAAAGAACAGACAAAAATGGCAAATGGAATAGTTTATATGGTCATAGCTATCGTTATTATTCTCGTAGGAGTAGGTATGTGGTCTTTTGCTGACTTTGTGCTCGTGAACAAGCCGCGCTCAGTTGGAGGAGCAAGAGGTAGTGGATCGGCCCTATCAGGAACAAGAAAAATGACCCATTCCATCCCTCTAGAAAGGACCGGAGCTTATTCACCCCGAGTTCGATCACCTTACGCATATTAAAAAAAGAATAAAATGTCAGGCGCTACCATTTTGCAAATTTCATCCATTGTCGTCATTCTCATTGGAGTTCTATTGTGGGGATACGGCGATTATCTGATGTACAAAGAACTAGAAACGCTGCAAGGGTCATCGAAATCATCCTGAGAGAGACGGAAAAAAAAAGAAAAATATAAAAATTACCGGCTGCCCATGTTTGTGTTCATTCCATGTTATTTTTTTTTTCTCCACTTACTGCTCTTTTGCAAAAGAATGCATTCTTCGGAATTTATCGTGATACCAATGGTGGCCTCCATGTCTTTGGTTTCCTTCTTCTTCTTTTCGTTCAATCACTAAAGGAGGGTACACAATGCCTCCGGAATTCTGAACATCGGGAGGTGAGAATACTTTCGTAGTGGATTGATCTATTTGAAGAAGAAGTTCGGACGTTACTTCAATCCCTTCGCGTGGTTGAATTAACCTAACAGGATGGTCCATTTTATCCACCAAGTAGCCCGCGTACCAACGATTCACTAAATAACACTGAGCTCCTGATAAAGCCAAAGGAGTTGGAAAAAGAAATGTTCCAGGATCTTTGGCTTTGACTTCTTCATAAAACAAGTAGCCTAAATGAACTAGATCGTACCCCAGTGGAAGAATTTCAGAAAGCATCTTTCGAAAATCCGACCGAAAAGTCACATCGTCTTCGCAAATGATTCCATAAGGTTCACTTTCTGGAAGGTTTGCGACGCATTTAAGAGCCTTCAAATGAGAAAGAAAAACAGCAATCTCTAGCTTTCCTGGTCTACCGCGAAGCCGACCTGCTTCCTCGGCTATTCCAGGTGTCTCTTTAGGAACGCAGTTGTAAGCATACCATTCCACAAGTTCGGACTCCTTAGAAAGAGCTGGAACAAAAGAAAAACGATCAATGTCCATAGACTCCAATATTTGCTTCATTTTTCGTCTTCTTTCATGTTGACTTTCCAAGTTAATGATAAATATTTTGGGAATGGACATAGCTTTTTTTGGAAAGATCAATTTCTTCTATATCAGTCCAACCCCAAGCAATAGTTCCTGCTATAACAATCAATGCTCCAATAGCGATAAAAGTCGCTTCCAATATTGCGCTCACATTGAAGACAACTGAAAATTCGGAAGCAGCCCAAATGAGAGATCCTAAAACTATCATACCTACTGCCAATTTAACAGTGTAAGTCATATGCATGGTCATAGTCTCCTTTTTATAATTTCGAAGAGGATGATGAAGGAAACATAGCTAGAGCACTCCCTGCCATGAGAAAAAGAGAACCAATAAAGAACATAACAGCTACCCAAATTTCCATCTTTTTAATACTCTCTAACGAGAAAATTCTCGTGCTTTATCAATTATAAAGGCAAGAGAAGCGGATGTTGAAGGGCTGGACATTTCTTGAACAGCTTCCAATTCTAATAACGTCTTACTTGGGTTCATTTTGTTTAGGAGATCGGACTTCAACTGGTCTATTGTTCTTTCCAACAACTCAACCCCTTCTTCACTTTTCACAAAAGGACTACCAGTGGCGAACAGAAAGCAGTAAGAACAGAAATTGTATTGTATTCCAGGCTGGGATAACAGTTTTTCCATGGAAATGGAAGATGTCGACCTGTCTCTTTCTGAAGAACGCTTCAACCATTTTTTTTCGATTCCGTAAAGAACCAGTTGATGGATAAAGTCTTCCGAACTCACCAATGCGGCGTTATCATCATTCCACTCTCGGAACAGTCCCGCAGAGTGAATGTTGAGTGAGGAGTCGGAGAAAACAAAACGGACAAGTTCATTCAGTTCCGACTGAAAAGCTTTGTCGTGCGTCCCATGCAAATCTAAATAAGAAACGAATATTATTGCACTTTGAGGTAAAGAATTCGGAATTGGAAAAGAATCGCGTTTCCAAACAGGTTTGAAAGACCGGCTAACCACAACAGGAATAACGGACGACTCAACACACCAACCATCGAAAAATTCCGTGACAACTGGAGCATCGTAGGTCTTTATTAAGATTTCATCCAGATGCGGAGAAGAAAGCAAAAACCCATATTTCTCGAGTAGAACGAAGCTCATTAAGACTTGAAAAACGGTCAGAACAGAGACTGATGAAGAATCCATTTGGGCGCTACCAACGTCTTCCATTACCGAAAACTTTCTGTTAATCTTTCTCATGAAAACATTTCCAAAAAGTAAAGGAAAGTTGAGGCATTTTCCTCTTAGCCTAATAAGCTGAGAAACCGCGAACTGGTCCTCCGTGGAAGGAAAGGCGAGCGAAACTGGGAAAGAATAACCGGAACGAATTGGAATTTTCGTCCATTTAGAATTTCCAAAACGACCTTTTTCTTCTGTAGACCTTATTTCCAACCAACATCTCGAACACACCAATTGAACAGCCGGAAAAGAAATGGAATTCAAAAAGGAAACGATGGAAGATCCGACTTCAAAAAGCAGCTCTTCAGATGAACGAGAAGGAACAGAAAGAAGCTTATTCAGTGCTGTAAAATTTACCCTCCAAAGTTCCTTCGGTTCAATAGCAGCAGCCGTTGTGTTCGTCATCTTTTAAAAAGGTCTACCAGAACAAGCCCTCCTATAAGCAAAGCGAGTGCTGCTCCAAATAACTCCAAAACGGGAAATTGTTTTTTTTCCTCTCTGTTAAACTCAATGGGGAAAGCAGCTCCTTCGTTACTGTCACTCAGGATTGGAATGTTCGTGTTTGAACAATACACGGCTACGTCAAAAGAAGATCCATCGATTCCTTGATGACAGATGCTGCGTTTCAAATCGCATTCCTTTTTCACTTGCTCATTATATTCCTGCCCAGGTGGAATGTAACAAGAACGCTTCTTACTATGGCTATTGCAAAAATTCCTCATTACTAATCCACTGACTGGCCTAGCAACGTCGAGGCTCGGAATGTTGGGCACTACGCACTCTTCTCGCTGACAAAGAAGGAAGGAACCGTTCACCGCTTTAGGAACCACATCTGCTGGTCGACAGAGAGGAGAGCAATGAGGAGGAAGCGAAAAAGAAGCCAGATCGTCTTCATATTCTTTCTCCGACAAATGGCAGCCACACATTCGATACAGTAGAGGCCAACTTTGAGTTTGAGCTCTTGTGTAATTTGAGCACAACTTCGTCAATAGAGATTCACATACTCCTGGAACTAAACGACAAATCGCATAAGTGTACTCAGCTTCTCCTATCAACGGATACTGAAAATTCATGGTCAAAAGCCTTTCTTCGATGTAACTTTGAAGATAAGAAACAGCTGAAAGAGGCAAAGAAACTGGAACTGTCGAGGAAAGTAAATTTTCAAAATTATCTAAAGGCAACAACTTGGAAGGATCTGTCATGTATTTTTTTTTCTACTTAATGCTTCCTTTTTTTTACCACCCAATAGACAATCGACCAAAAAAAACGGACAGCTCTTCTTCACGAAGAAAAACAGAAAGAACAGATCTCACTAAAGAGAAGCAACACGTCGGAGAGTAATAGCAATATTCCATAAAACCATCCCTCAACATATCGGAACCATCGCAACTACATACATCCTCCAGCAACGAACGTTCCCATTCCGAATCAGGGCGGTCTATAACAACGGCAAGCCCTTCTAAGACTCTCTTGCAGAGCTTCTCATAACCATCTCGCAACTCACTCATCTTTGATGTACCTCTTTTTTTTGAAACAAACTTTAGACCTTATTCATACCGACGACAGGAAGGACAATGAATCAGATTGGGATTCTGACGCCGAAGCCTCATACAAGCTTGGGCACATTCCTGGCACACCACATGCCGCCTACCCTCATCCTCGCAATCGAAGGCAGTATACAAAGGAGAGTTGGCTTCCAGACAGATTTGGCAAATGGGTGGACTATTATTTCTTCTGGAACCAGACGGTGGAGACCACCTGTGGTACAGAGTACCAACTTCCTCAGGTGTTTCTGGTCGTGCCGGTTCCAACTCAGCGAAAACCCTGGAAATAGCCTCCTGCAAATCAGGAATTTGGGCTGGAAAATCCATTTCACTAGGTCCGAACTCTGAGTCCACTTCGTCAGGAAGACTATTCAAATAAGGCATCATGTATGTTATAATGTCTTGAGCTCTGAAACCGTCTTCCTCGAAGAAGTCAAAAGTCCCCATAACGAATTGTTGTTGAGGTCTCGTCAATCTTTCGTACACTTGTATGAAATCAAGCAGCCAAGAGGCACCTATTTCTCTGAGGGCGACATCGAGTTCCGTTCCCATCAGCAGCCTCGATAGCAGGAATACACCAAGCTAGTTGATTCG